CACATGTCAGCAGACGTATAAATGTGATACCATTAAATATTTATATGCAATTCAACTGGGTTGAATATTATATTTATAATTCATACATTTTATAGAAGGGTATGCGTATGTGATGATAATTTTATAACATATATATACGTACGACATATCTGTACACAATTCAACATATATGTAATTCAAAACATATATATCTTCTTCCTCGATGAACTTATCATAATCGTCTCATGTAGTATTTCATTCTCCTCCATTGTTTGCAGTACTTTCTCATTTGTGATAACGAGAGAAAAGTAGTATTTCTAGTAATAAAACTCTGACAAGGAGATTCCTTCATGGAAAAAGGTTTTCTACCCGTATTCTTCTTCTTTGTAATTGTGTCGGCTTATCACGTCCTTTTAGCTTTACCTTATTAACCGACGAATGTCTGTGAGCTTCGTCAAGCTCAACGGGCGAATAATTTCATGCGACATTAAACTCTTTGCCAAAGTTGCTCAGATATACTGCTGGATATGTAAAACAAAACATCTAAAGCCAAAATATGTACTAAGATTTTATCGGTCTTAATTTAATTTATAGTATTTAGTATTTACACAAATCCATTCAACTTTTGTACCTTGTTTCTAAGAGCTTGCCATAAATGAGTTTATTTCCCTTTTAAAATTTATAAATATCAAAATATTAAATATATCTACACTAAATAAAAGAGAAAGAGTTGAAAGTTTCCGTGCATTTCATATTATCCAAATAAAATTTGATATTTTTAAATTGTATATATTAAATCATTTCATTCATTAATGCATGAACTTAATATATATTGAAATGACTTTACAATTACAATTATACATTGTACACATTACAAATTGTATATACATTTGAATCATTTCATTCGTTAATGCATGAACTTAATATATATTGAAATGACTTTACAATTACAATTACGTTTTCAAATATTTATATTTAAAAAATATCAAACATTTAATATTTGATACAATAAATTTAATGTATAATACTGCATTAATAGTTTTCATGTCAAGTAACAGTTGTCTTATCTCTTAATTCCATTTTTTTTAATTACAATATTTGTTACAACTGCTAAATAATTTAACATCTAGTAACAATAATAAACAATAACATAAATTTAAATAAAAGCGAGTACAAAATAAAGGATAGTATTTTCATTAAAATGATATCCGTAGTATGATGATTTAATATAAAATAAAAGCAAATAATAATAATAATAAAATTAATAAATAAAATAAATAAAAAATGATTATAAAAAATTACAAAAAGAGTAATTATATGAACATTATTTAGAATTTATAAAATAATTTCTCATAAATAAAATTTCTATTTAAGGAGAATGTATTCTTTCGCCAACTGATGTCTATGTACATTTATGTTATTTTTATATTTAAAATGATCCCACGAGCAAATTGTGTTTTAAGCGAGTAATTATTCAAGAAAAAAATGTTTATCTACAGTATATATAAGAATGCTCAAATTAAATTCATATAACGACCAAAACCTCATTTGAAATTATTAAATAAATGTAACCTTCCTATTTAAGGAGAATATATCTAATATTAATATGAATATATAAAATGTAATATAATAGATAAGTGTATTCTATTTGCTAGTAATCTATAAACATTAAAAGCAAAAATCAAAAATTCTACTAATATCTAAAATGTGAAAAAATATTTAAAAAATGTGATGTGTCATCATGAGAATCTGATAGTCTTAGCATTCAAATTTCGCAACTAATTCAAATGTTTTACTTGCATATTTGAAATAGTTGTTTAGACTGATTTTAAAGTCTTATTTTGATCATTTTCACTTGCTTATATGAGACCTAAATTTAGCAATATATGTTTGCATATTGTTCAATTTTTAATTTAAAAAAATGATAAAATGGCCGTTTTAGCACTATTATTTATCACTGTAACTCCAAATGACAATATTTACCAAAAACGAACAAACTCCCAATATTGACAATGATGGCACATCCTTATGAAACAGACTCATTATGATATAATAAATATAATATCATTACAACGTTTGCTACCAGGAACTAAATGACAACTAGACAAAGTTCTTTTTTTAATTAACACTTTATTTTAAAATTACAACCTTTAAGTATTTAATATCTAATTTAAATTAAAATTATGGTAATATATATGGCAGGACATGCCAGTATGATCCAAAGGATTGCACATGATATTTATGGAACCCAAAAGGATTACACATGATATTAAAATTGGATTAGCGAGGGATAAACTACCTCGTCATATATAAACACAAAAATATTTAAATCCAAATTTAAAATTATTTATATATATATATATATATATATTATATATGTGTACATTAGTAAACTTATGTGTGTGTTTATATCATATTATATGTCGCCTGTAAAATGACGCCTGTTGATTCGTCCATGTGATTAAATTTTCTGATATTAATATTCCACTTCTCGCGATACAACTCGGTCTGCGTTTGTCATTTCAATTATGAAATTTATCAAAAATGAAAAAGAAGGGTATAATAGAATATCACAACCTGATTACTACGCCATTTGAAATTTAATACTCACAAATGGCATGAATCTAAAAGCTCTCTCGTTGGCTTTTATATAAATTAAGTACAATGGGAAAGATAGATTCCTTTGTTTCAAAGCGAACTTCGGAAAATGTCATCCCTCTTCAAGAGCAGTACGTTGGCTTCATTGTTAAAAATTACAGACTTTCTGGTGTATAAAGTTTGTAAGATTTTACATTTCTAGAACTTCCATATACTGATTAGAAACGAAAAAAAGAAAACAAACAAAAACTAATTCAACACTACACAAAAAAGTATAGAAAACAATAAATTACAAATTAATATATAGAACCGACAAAAAACCTTTATTAATTATTCTGAACAATTGGACTTGACCTTGCCTCAAATAGTTTTTTTTACATCTTTAACCAAGTGATGCATATTTTCTACTAAATGCAAAGCTTCTTCAAACTTAAGTAATGATATTACTATTAAAATGAGGGTTTTATTTACAAATAAAATGTGGCAAAATATTTTGTGACAAAACTTTAACTCAGTAAATATTATATCTACCCAACTATTCAGTTGGGTTGCTTTACAAAATTATTTACGCATTCAGTGCAAAATGATTACAACGTTGATAATAATTAATTAGTTAATGGAAAGCACACAACGCTTGTTCGCTCACTAATTAATTCAGAATATGCAAAACAAGTTGGAAATTACATTTATAAAATTGATAAAAAGAATAACCCTTTTTCACAATTATATAGGATTATACAATTTAAAGCTTGTTAATATTTATTGAGGCAGAAAATATAATTCCTTAAATTACCAATCAAAATATTCTTTAAATTCTTTATATTCAACTTCTCGTAGAATAATTAGAGTTGAAATGAACAAAAAATCGAGCAGATTTTTCCAATACCTGTACGATTGGAGGCCATCTAAAATTCATATATTACGATAAATAATATATTTATAATATATAAATTCAAACAGAGACAATTTGAAATTAATAAGTTATTTGATTAATTTGAATACTATAAACCAAGGAAACCTTAGCATTCATATAAACTAATAAATTTTTTTGAAAATTAGTGCTTTTGAAACAAGATAGAAACCAATCGAAACCATAGAAATAATTTTTATTTCTTAATTTTTAATTAAGTTTTGTTTTAAAAAAATAGTATAATTATTTTTGTTATAAGCTCTTCAACTTTATATCATCAAATTGTCTATTACTGTAGTTCTATAAAAAAAATTGTATTTCGACAGTAAAGAGCCTGATGATAAAACGTATCTATCTAGTAAACTTACAGATTTTATTTTGTTCGAAGAGGAAACATTAAACTATTTTTTGAATATTTCAGATTTTTTACAGAATATATATATATATATATATATATATATATATATAATATATATGATAGTTTTGTCGACGTTGATACATATATGTAATATTTTTGCAGCAAACTTTCAGAGAATTGTTTTTTATCAATTTGGAACCATTTGAGCCCTTGGGAGCATGGAAATTCGAAAATGTCCATATTAAGGACCACCCTAATATATATATATATATATATATATATATATATATATATATATATATATATATTATACACTTCTAGCAAAGTACACTTCTTGATATCCTAATAATAATTTAAATCTATGTTTATTTTCCGCTGAATAAAGGTTAGGATGTTGGCCAAAACGTATGAATACCAAATGAACACATGAAAAATCCTTATTCTTATCCTTAGTGATTTGGAAATTTTCCTGAATTGTATAAATAAGCATCCCATCTTGACTTTTGGCTTCGGATAGCGCACTCATTTATTTTATTCGGGATTAAGATAATCAAGCCGTAGTAGCTTTGCCAATTTTCTCTTACATATATAGATCAAATTTATATGTAGTCTTTTAAATGTTTAATATGCTTCATTAACAGCCCTTCCCATTTGAGATCACGTATGATATATTATCGATATTATTGCTGATATTTTAAAATGGAAAATATTCTTGCTAGTTGCAATCATTCACACACGTGTGTGAAAATAACATTCATCGAATGCATCTGTGTATCTAGATAAATGCTTATCAGACTTTGTACAACGAACAGGTAGTAATCCCAATAATTGTACAGTGCTGCGTGGGCTGCAGGCGAAGCATTGCTAATTAATAATTAAAATGTATAACACGTATTAATTTAATGTATTGATTATTAATCTATCACACAAATAGACTGAAATATTCGACTCTGGTGTGTAATTAACTAGATTCAAGTTCAACACACCATTTGAGAAATTGATTTGGCATCGCTTTACAAAGTATCATAGATAGCTTGAAGTAGGACTAATAAAGAGATAGAAGAAGTCGTTATAAAAACAATATTTTTTTATTTAGTTATATTATATTTATCAATTATATTGATTATAGTCTAACGTATTTATTTTTATTTACAGGATACTGCTGAGTTGCAACTAGAGAAACTCAAAGCTGAAGGTATGTTTTATGAAAATGATATGTAAATGTACTACAGCAAACAAAATTGAACTTTTGGTTAATGAAAAAGAAATAGTGCTTGAATTAGATATAAAAAAGGTTGCAATCATATCAATAAAGTCAAGTAATTTCGCCAATTAATACTTTTGACGAATAAAAATATCGTAACCCACTTCAAATATCCATATTTCACCATCCAATTGCATACCAATATATGTATGATATATTCGTATGGAATTCTATTCATTCATTACTCCACGTATGTTTGCAACCAATAGTGCGCACGTATTCAAATAAATATTAATTTGCAATTAGTGGAAATATTTCAACAATAACAATTTTAATGAAAACAGTACTTAGTTTAAAATAACATTTGCAAACCTACAACAATGCAGAATGTAGGATGATAT